TTGCTCAACTTTGGTCTTATTCAGTGTTTCAATGTAGGCTTCAGAATTGACAGTTGTTCCTCGTAGAAGAAAATCTCTGAGAGGCACACTACGAACGTCCCAAAATACGGTTACCATTATTTTTCGGCTGATTTTTCGTGACGATGCTTGTCTGACAAACACGTGGACACCTCTTCCTCTTCTTCCGGTCCTTCGCTCGAACGTCTGACACACCAAGAAGGCCAGAATCTAGCACTTAGTCCTTGCAAATATTTTGAAGTCTTGTTGGATGCTACCGGTGGATTCTTCTTCTAAAAGAAGAAATTCAATCATACCTCACGTCTTCCAACATACCTCCAAGGGGACAACAATTTTGATGTGACGTCATTCAGGCAAGAATTAAAAAAAAAAGAATTTAACATTTTGAGTTCAAAAGTACATGCGCAAATACATATGAGATTAATTTAATAAAATTTGAAGCAGAATTGTGCAAAATAGCGAACAACTTGCATTGCTTTTTTCGTACATGTACCCACAGAGGTCGTCTTGTTGTGTTACGACGCTTGTAACGAGTCAGTCTGGCATTAGATTAGGCGTACGTGGATGGCTTTGATCAACCTGATCTGGTGGCAATCAGCACTGCTTGGAGTCGTTTCCTGATCGGGAATCTAGTGTGTATCCTTTTTTTCTGCTGCATACTTTACTTTTCCCCGTTTTGCCTTCGTCTGTTTTATAGTATAGCATTTTCTTTCTTGTGCACTCGCTTTAAAGCTTTGTCCCCCCCCGAGCTGTGGACCAGGCCCTTCCACCCCCCAAACGTTTTTATTTTTCATTCACTCTCTCCTTCTCTCTTTCATTCTTTCTTCTTTCACTCTTTCTCACTTCCCCCCTTTTCATATCTCCTACTTCCTCTCACTCCCTCTCTTCTTTCCCTTTTCTCCCCTCCCCTTCTTTATCTCCTCTCTCATCCTCCGTCCTCTTCTCTTTCTTTCTGTCTCTTTTAGTCACTAGTAGCCCCAACGCCCTTGAAGATTGTTTTTGTCTCGCTTTGTCCCCAACTCTCTCTCTCTCTCTCTCTCTC